CTACTTTCCCTTTTAAATTCTTCCTTGATTCATGGGTCATTTAGAAGTATGTTCTTTAAGATTTCATATACTTTGGGATTGTCAAGATATTGTTCTGTTACTGATTTCTAATTTAAACCATTTTGGTCAGAGAATATAGTTTGTATAATTCGAATCTTGTAAAACTTATTGAGACTTTTTTTATTGCCCAGAATATGGTACCAAATATGAATATGATATGAAAACCAGAAAAAGACATTACAAGAAAACTACAGACCAATATCCTTCATAACACAGATGCAAACATTCTTAACAAATCATAGAAAATTGCATCTACCAATACGGAAAAAGATTATACATCATGATTAAGTGGGGTTTACCCCAGGAATTCAAGGTTGGTTTAATTTTCAAAACTTAATCACGTAATTCAACATATTAACAGACTAAAAAGAAAAACCATACTATCATCTCAATAGATGCAGAAAAGACATTAGATAAAATCTAAAATCCATTCCTGATAAAAACTCTAAGCAAACTAGGAATAGAAGGGAACTTTCTCAACCTGATAAAGATTATCTATTAAAAAAATCTATAGCTGTAAACACCTATATTTAAAAAAGAAGTAAGACTGCAAATCAATAAACTAAGCTTCCACTTTGTTGCTGTTGTTAGCTGCTGTCAAGCTGGTTCTAACTCATGGCATTGAAGACACTGGAAAAAGAAGAGTAAAGTAAAGCAAGCAGAAGGAAGGAGTTAATAAAGACTGAGCAGAAATTAATGAGATACAGAATTTTAAAAAATAGAGAAAAATCAATGAAACCAATAGGTGGCTCTTTGAAAAGATCAATAAAACATTCCACTGGTTGTTCTAGCCACCGATATTAGGCAGTAGTGTTGCTGTTCCCTTCTGCCAGTGAAGATAGACTTGAATGTTACATATGCCAGATATTGACACTAGGATTTTCTTTGGGGGAGAGATTTTAAACTACAAATTCAGTTTCCTTAATAAATAAGGACTATTCAGGTTAGCTATTTCTTCCTAAGTTTTGATAGTTTATGTCTTTCAAAAAAAATTTATCCATTTCATCTAAGTTGTGGAATTTATTGACATAAACATGTTTCCTTATTATCCTTTTAGTGTTTGTAGTGTTGTCACCTCTCTCATTCCCGATACTGATGATTTGTATCTTCTCTCTTTCTTCTACCTCCAGTTGACATTAAAAGCACATCAACACCTGAGCTAACTTTAAGACTTATGTGGTTATAACAAAAAGTTAAAAATAACATACTACAAACTAAGGAAATACGTAAGCTAATTATGTTGGTACCAGAGAATTTGCTAAAAATGAACTCCAGAAATACTTTCAAAACTAGGCCATCAGACTGACTGGATCCCTCTAACATGTAGAAACTGGCTCCCAATAACTGACAAAATACCAGTGTAGAAAAAAAAGCACAAAATCAGGTTATCTTGTCCAAAGGACTAGTAGACCACATGAACCACAGCCTCCACCAGTCTGAGCCCAGAAGAACTAGATGTTTCCCGGCTACCACCACTGACCGCTCTGAAAGGGATTACAATACAGGGTCCTGGACAGAGCAGGAGAAAAACGTAGAACAAAATTCATATTCACAAATAAGACCAGACTTACTGGTCTGACAGAGACTGGAGGAACCCCTGAGACTATGGCCCCCGGACACCCTTCAAACTCAGAACTGAAGCCACTCCCAAAGTTCACCTTTCAGCCAAAGATTAGACAATAACACACATGAGGAACGTGCTTCTTAGATCAGTCAAGTATATGAGACCAAATGGGCAACACTTGCCCAAAACCAAAGGCAGGAAGGTACAGGAAGACTGGATGAATGGAAATGGGGACCCTAGGGTGAAAGGGGGAGAGTGCTGACACATTGCAGGGATTAGAACAAATGTCATAAAACAATTTGTGTATAAATTTTTGAATGAGAAACTAATCTGCTCCGTAAACTTTCACCTAAAGCACAATAAAAAAAAAAAAAAAAATCAGGTTATCTTCCATTCTCTTTGCTGCCAGTGTGCTAGCTTCCCAGGAATATCACTTCCCCCTTTAACGCTCTGGCTTTTCACTTCCATTAGCACAGCAAATGGCACAGCCTTAGTGGCACAAATGTTTATGATTAGACACTGGGCTGCTAACTGAAAAGCTGGTGGTTTGAACCCATTCAGATGTTCCCCAGAAGAAAGTCCTGGCGATCTGCTCCTGAAGGGTCATAGCCATGAAAACTCTATGAAACGCAGTTCTACTCTGAAACACATGCGGTTCCTAAGAGTCAGAATCAACTCATTGGCAATTGATTACTGGTTAAGTACCTGACACCATTTTAAGAGGCAGCAATACAAAATCTCTGCCCTCAGAGAGCTTACATTCTAGTTGGGTGAGACGGAAAATTTAAAAATAAGTAAAATATACAGTATGCCAAATACTTATATGAGGAAAACAGGGCAGCTTAAGGGATAGCGGTGCAGGAACAGGAAATTCAAATGTAATTTTAAATAGAATAGTTAGGAAGGCTTCACTGAGGAGGTCACATCAGAATGAAGATCTGAAGCAAGCAGTGCAAATGGATGAACATTCCAGGCAAAAGTGGACAGCAGGGGCGTGGCTCAGTTGAAGGATAAAACCAAAACCAAACCTGTCAAGTGACAGACACCCCATAAGACCCATTGCCATGGAATCGATTCCAACTTATAGCGACGCTATAGGACAGAGAAGAACTGTTCCATAGGGTTTCCAAGGAGTGGCTGGTGGATTCGAACTTCCGACCTTTTGGTTAGCAGCCATAGCATGTCGTAGCTCTTAACCGCTGCACCATTAGGGCCCCAGCGACCCTATAGGACAGGGTAAAACTGCCCCATAGTTTTTCCAAGGCTGTAAAACTTTATGGTAGCAGACTGCCATATCTTTCTTCCACGGAGTGGCTGTGGTTTTAAACCACCAACCTTTTGGTTAGCAGCCGAGCACTTGGCCACCGTGCCACCAGGGCTCTAATTGAAGGATGACTGGAGTTAAATCTTACTTTGAGGGCAGGGAAAGGGATTACACATAGCAGGAGTTCAGTAAATGTTGATGGAAGAGAGGGAGGGAGAGACAGACATTTGAATCCAGAGGTTTTGAGGTTGAATTTTGGGAACAGAAGAAAAGCAACAAGTTTTACGAACTTGGGAAAAAAAACAGGTGATTAAGTGATTTTATGTCCTGTGTTTCTGGCCTTCTCTTAAAAATATTTCTCAAATGGAGATGGTTCAAAGAATTTGAAGAGTTTGTTTTTGTTTTTACTTGCTGGCTTTGCTTTGGGTTGAAACTAAGAATTTTTCTTGTTTGTTTTCTTTTTTACTGTATTTGACACATTTTTAGGCATACAGAATCATTTAAGATTAGGGCTTGAAGTTCAAATTATGAATATTCCCAAAACAATTTTATTTTTTGATAGAAATTAAAATACCATTTATAATAAGAATAACAAGTTTATAAAGGAATTATGAATAGAAAGGCTTCTTTTCCCCATATGGTCAAGAGAATTGGGTCTGTGATTTGGATGTTCTTTTCCTATGGTTTGTACAGTCTGTATTTGCCTCTTCAAATAGGTTTGGATGACTTTTACGTGACCACTTTATTGTTTTCATAAGTGATATTTTTAGGAACTGGAAATAACAAAAAGTTCTGGTAGGCTTGTCCGTAATAGTTTGTGTAGCTAAATGCCTCTTTCCCAAAAAGTGACAGAGAAGGAATACCAGCCCAGGATTTTAAGTGTTCAGTGGATGTTTTATGTAAGACAGTAGTGAGACCAGAGGATATAACAGTAGTTTAGCTGCTGGTTTTGTTTCTGTTTTTAACTTGGCTTCTATTGTTTTAATCACAGAAGGAAAATTTTTGTGCATATGTGTATATGTAAGGATTTTTCAAGAATGATAAATGGACCAGGCTCTGCTCTCAAGATACAATCAGTGCCCACTTTGTTTTCAATATTACTAAAGTATAATTAATTTTAGAGTGACTTCACTTTTGGTCTTTGCCTTTCCACTAAAGATTATTGGGAAAAACATTCTTCCCATCTTTAACCTCTCTTACACTACACCCCTTCTTTTTTTTTTTCATAAAGAGAAAGCTGCATTCTCCATTGTCTGGTTGAGCTTAAAGATAACAAACTTCAAAACATTCCAACAAAATATAATTGAACTTTTTATTATTTTCCTCTTACAAAAGTAATGCATAGTCATTACACAATAAAAGAGAGGAGCACAAAAGATAGAAAGAAGTAGATTTAAAAATTGCCCATTATCCCATTCCAGAGAAAACTAGTATCATTTTGCAATATTTCATTAGTCTTTTCCTATGTATTGTTTTGTTTGCTTGTTTTTATTGTGCTTTAAGGTGAAAGTTTACAGAGAAAATTAGTTTCTCATTCAATAATTTATTCACAAAGTGTTTCACGACATTGGTTGCAATCCCCACAATGTGTCAGCACTCTCCTCGGTTCCACCCTGACTTCCCCGTACCCATTTGTCTGGTATTCCTGCTCCTTCCTGCCTTCTCATCTTTGCTTTGGGGCAAATACTGCCCTTTTAGTCTCGTACAGTTGATTGTTCTAAGGAGTACTTTCCTTACGGGTGTCATTGTTTATTTTAGAGGCGTGTCTCTTATTTGGCTGAAAGGAGATCTCTGGAAGTAGCTTCAGATACTAGTTAGAAGGGTGACTTAGGGCCATAGACTCAGGGGCTCCTCCACTCTATCAGACCAGTAAATCTGGTCTTTCTTATGAATTTGGATTTTGTTCTACATTTTTCTCCCGCTCTGTCCAGGACCCTCTACTCTACTGTAACCCTGGTCAGAGTGGTTGGTAGTGGTAGCTGGGCACCATCTAGTTCTTCTGGTCTCAGGCTAGTGGATGCTACAGTTCCTGTGGGCCATTAGTCCTTTGAACTAACTGCTTCCTTAAGTCTTTGGTTTTCTTCACTCTCCTTTGCTCCAGACGAGAACAGACCAATAGTTGTATATTAGATGGCTACTCTTAAGTTTTAATACCCTAGACACTACTCACCAAAGTAGGATGTAGAACATTGACTTTATAAGCTATGTGATGCCAATTGACCTAGACGTCCCCATCCTATGTTTTCGAACACAGTTCAGATATTACTGTATATAAAATCTTATATCTAGCTTTCTCAACATTATATTAAAGGCATTTTTTTCCTCAATCAATAAAAATCCTCTTTATAAACATTAATTTTAAGTGCAGAATAATGTTTTATCATATGGATATACTATGGTTTTTTTTTAAATATATATTCTCTGTTACTTTGAAAACCCTATGGAGCAGTTCTACTCTATATACATGGGGTAGCCATGAGTCAGAATCACCTCAATGGCAACTAACAATAACAATATCGAATATTTAGTAGAGGACTTAGCGGATTAATGCATACCAACATTGTTAGGGCCACTTTGCTTTCCAGAAAGGAAAAGTTGTTTTTGAGAACACAGGAAGGGAATACAGAGAGAGACTCGGTGAGGGGTGGTATTAAGGCCAGCAGGAGAAGGGAGAGGCTCACAGGTCCTGGCCTAGCCGTTCCAGCTCATCCAGGAGGAAGTCCATATCGGCTTTGGTCAGCATGGGGTTGGCCACAATCATGCGGAAGAAGTTGGCCCGGGCCCCATGGGGCTGGTAGCCAATCATCATGGAGCCCTTCTTCACCATGCGTTCCTTAAGCACTGGGGCCACCTGTGGGAATGCAGCCTGGGGTCAGGTGAGGGGTGACTGGTTTCCTGGCTAGCCCTGTTAGCCCAAGATGTTTTCCCTCCCTATCCAGCCACCTTCCTGAGGAAGCCCTCATTGCTCAGAACCTGACCATGGCCCCAGTTTACCTTTTGGCCACATCCAACCTGCTTAGCCTGCTGTTGTTATTGTTGTTAGCTGCTGTTGAGTTGGCCCCTAACCACTGTGGATCTGACCGTTGTGATCCACAGGGTTTTCACTGCCTGATTTTCAGAAGCAGATGGCTATTTTACCTGCTTTTCTCCCAATCTCTCCTATCTCCAAGAGATGTCATTTCCTGCCATATTCTGACTTTTCCCTGATTCCCAACATTGCCTTGGGTCTAGTTCCAAGCCTTAGTCATCCTTAACACCTTTTCCACTTTCTTAATTCCTAGATTTTTCACCTGTACCCTATGATCTAACATGTAATTTATAAAGCTGCCTCGAACACAGTGGTTTCAAATAGGTACTCCTCATTTTCTGAAATAACATTAAAATCTCCTTAAGGACAAGAAAATGTTTGTCCTTTTGGATTATCTGCAGCACCTAGTACTGATCTATACTTAGGGACCAAGACATGACATTCTCCTTGCCTCTAGGAAGCAAGGCTTGACTGGCCTTACTGAGTTGTTTTGTCCCCAGCATCAATGAGTAAAGCACTTCGGTGATCTTTCTGCCTCACATCTCTGTCCTGGGGCCTGAGCTCCCAGCAAAGGCCCAACACAGAGGTCTGTGTACTGCAAACTGGTGACTTCTCCTATAATGCCCCTCTGTTATTCTTTCCATAAACGTACCTTGTTCCCCACCTCCCTACCACTGTAAAAAAGAGAAGTTAGTGTTTTCTCCCAGTCCACATCCCCACCTCAGAAGCAAGGGACCAGCAAAGGGAACTGCCATAACATTCAAGGCCAGCAGGGGGTAGAAGCGCATCAGTGACATCAGTTCCCGGAAAACAGGTTACACAGAGCCCGTGTAACCCGGGAAAAGAAAGCCTACCTTAGCCAGCTTTTCACTGTAATCAGGGCTCTCCTGTTTCCCCCGCAGGCTGGGGGGCACGAACCAGAAACACACGTTGATAAACTCAGGCTGGGAAGAATGAGAAAGGGGAAGACGTGAGCTGAGGAAGGGAGACCATTTTCTCTCTCACTGCCCCTACTTCCTCCATCAGGCCTTTGGTGTGTGGGATAGGCTGGCACGGGGGGCATCGTGTCATACCTCCATGACCAACTCAAATCCTTCCCTCTTCTTTATTTCCTCCACCAGGTACCTGTAAACAAATAGAGAGAAATCACAGATGGAGGAGAAAAGACAGAAACAGAAGATATATAGAAAAAATAGTTGGGTGGATAGATATGTAGACACCCACAGAGAATGGAGAATGAGCCACAGTCACCAAAAGAGAGGTGCGGGGTGTAGGGGTAACCCTGAAAGCAGGAAAGGAGGGAGGGGGACAGACCTCGAGGTTGGAGGACTGGGACCCCTCCCCACTCCTACCGAGCAAGGGCAAAGGCCCGGTCAACACGCTGCTCCAGCCCCAGCCCGCCCTGTGCCTTCCACATGAGCCACAGCTTCAGACAGTCCACGCGGCGGCCACACTGCACCACCTTGTCTCCCGTGTCCAGAGCCACATCGTAGAACTTGTCCTGCTGGAACAGGTAGCTGGCCTGGGACCCATGGCAGCGCTTAAGCAGGTTCTGTGCAGGGTTGGGGAGACTGTCAGACCCCATCGTCTCCACCAACGCTTTCCTCTAGGGCTGCATCCCATTTTCTCAGCTCAGTTCACCCATTTCTTTCCCTGGAACTGGGCAGCACTGATGAGATGGCTGCCAGCTGACTCAAACTCCTTCCTCTGATTTTTTCCCAACACCCAGAGTTCTTCCCAAACTCTACGCAGGATCCGTCCTGTTGCAACTTCAAGCTGGAAACTTTTTCCTTTGCGTGAAGAAAGGCCACTGAGGGAGGGACGAAGCCCAATATGGGGGATTAGGGTGGCTGCAGACATTCAGCTTGAGATGGGATGGTAAAGAGAACACAGCAGGGCCTGGGCCTTCTCTAAGGTGGGGTAAGGGAAAAAGACAGAGCTCCAGAGTGACAGGTGGGGCTGAGACAGGGTCGGGGCCAAGCCAGGGGCTGGGGTTGGGGCAGAGGCAGTCCTACCGAAGTATCTTGGAGAAGAAGAGCTGAGCACTGCAGGCCTGCTGTGAGGAGCTTGTGGGGATTCCAGGCCACAGAGTTAGCCCTGGGATGGAGCACAGCAAAGTTAGAACAGCTGGCTCCTCTTCAAGCTGCCCAACCAGAAACCCCCTTCCTCTTCCAGATCTCCAGTGAAAGAGCTTTAGTCTCACCTCTACCCCACCAGTCAGGAAGACGTCCCATGTCTGAGCTCTGACCTCCCAGCCCCAATCAACCATCTCTCTAATGACTCCCACCTGCCCCCTTCCCCCACCCTTATCCTAAGCTCCCTAGTCTATGATTATTCCCTGGATCAAGGATTTGAAGAAGGGATTCGGGGAGAAGAAGGCCATATCCACCTCTGGATTCCAGCCAGGAGACGCTTGTGTGTCTGTGACAGCAGGACACTCCCACCCCAGGCGGCCTGTGAAGCAGGAGGAACAACATGGGCCTCGGCCTCAGCTCAGTCCATCCCACCCCCAGACCCAAGTCCTACTCACATCCACGTGCAGCCACAGCCCGTGACGCTGGCACACATCAGCAATTGCCTCTAGGGGGTCAAAGGCCCCCAGCACGGTGGTTCCAGAGGTGGCACTGACCAAGAATGGCACGGCACCCTGTGGCAAAGATGCAGAGGAGAGAAACAGACCATGGGGTCATCTCAAAAGCTACTCAGAGCCTAGTGCTGGGCCCCAGCTCTAAGCTATTTGCATGTCTGACCTGAGCCCATTTCAACATCACAACAATATGGTATTGTCCCCTTTAATTTGCAGGCAGGGACAAAGGGATTCAGAAGTATTAAGAAACTTGCACGAACAAAAGAATGAAGTTGGACCCATACCTCACACCATATGTGAAAATTAACTCAAAATGGATCAAAGACCTAAATATAAGAACTAAAACAATAAAATTCTTAGAACAAAACATAGGAGTAATGCTTCGGGATCTACTTTTTAACAATAGATTCTTAGGTATGACCCCAAAAACACAAGCAACAAAAGACAAAACAGATAAATTGAACCTCATCAGAATGACAAACTTTTGTACACTGAAGGACTTTTTCAACAAAGTGAAGAGATAACCTACAGATTGGGAGAAGATATTTGGGAAACATGTTATCTGATAATAGTTTAATCCAGACTATATAAAGAACTTCTAGAACTCAACAACAAGAAGACCCTATTTAAAAATGGCCAAAAAGTGGAACTGTCCATAAACAGATGAATGGATAAACAAAATGTGGTATATACACACAACGGGCTACTACTCAGCCATAAAAATGAAGTCCTGATACATACCACAACATGGATGAACCCTGAAAACATCATGCTGAATGAAACAAGTCAGTCACAAAAGGACAAATACTGTATGATCTCACTTAAATGAAATAAATATATAGAAACCAAAAAATTATTAGCGGTTACCAGGGGCAGGAAAGAAGGGAATGGGGGAGTTTGTGCTTAGAGGGCACTGAGTTTGTGTTAAAGGTGGTGGAATGATTTGGAAAAGGATACTAAGAATGGTTGCACAACTTGAAGAATATAATTGTACATGCAGAAATCGTTGAGATGGTGTATCTTTTGTTATGTACATTTTCACCACAGTAAAAAAAAGGGAGGCCAAATCGCTTGAACAGATATTTCACCAAAGAAGATATACAAATGGCCAATAAGCACATGAAAAGATGTTCAACGTCATTAGCCAATAGGAAAACACAAATCAAAACCACAGTGAGATACCACTTCATCCCCACTAGACGGCTATTATCAGAAAAATGAAAAACAATTGAGTGTTGATGAGGATGTGGAGAAATTGACACCCTCATCCATTGCTAGCAGGATTGTAAAATGGTGTATCCTCTATGGAAAACAGTATGGTGGTTCCTCAAAAAGTTAAACATACCCCCAGATGCCTTGTTAACCCAGAACTAAAACCATTCCCGAAGCCCACTCTTCAGACAAAGATTAGACTGGACTATAAAACATAAAATAATACTGGTGAAGAGTGTGCTGCTTAGTTCAAGCAGATACACGAGACCAAATGGACGGCTCCTGTCCAGAGGCAGGATGAGAAGGCAGGAAGGGACAGGAACTGGTTGAATGGACACAAGAAACCCGGGGTAGAAAGGTGGAGTGTGCTGTAACATTATAGGGATTGTGACAAGTGTCACATAACAATATGTGTATAAATTTTTGTATGAGAAATTAACTTGAGCTGTAAAGTTTCAGCTACAGCACAAAAAGAAAAAAAAAAAGTTAAACATAGAACTATCACATGACCCAGCAATTTCATTCCTAGGTATATAACCAAAAGAAATGAAAGCCGGGACTCAAAATAGATAGCTGTACACCAATGTTTATTGCAGCTTATTCATAACAGCCAAAAGGTAGAAACAACCTAAGTATTCAAGAGATGACTGGGTGGACAGAATATGCATACAATGGAATATTATTCAGCTATAAAGAGAAATGAAGTTTTGATACATGCTATGACATGGATGAACCTTGAAAACACGGTGAGTGAAATAAGTCTGACACAAATGGACAAATATTATATGATCCCACTTACATGAAATATCCAGAATAGGCAAATGCATACAGACCAAAGTTGTTTAGTGGTTAATGGACTGGTTGTTGTTAGGCGCTGTCGAGTCGGTTCTGATTCATACTGACCCTATACGACAGAGCAGAACTGCCCCATAGGGTTTCTAAGGAGCGACTGGTGGATTTGAACTGCCGACCTTTTGGTTAGCAGCAGAAATCTTAACCACTATGCCACCAGGGTTCCACTGTAGGCAAAAGGGGACAGCAGGGACATGCCTCAGTTGAAGGATAAAACGAAAACCAAACCTGTTGAGTGATAGTCGGGCTGTGAGCGCAAGGAGATGGGGCGGTATTATGTAAGGGGTACCAAGTTTCTGTCAAGGGTGATGAAGAAAAACTGCAACTACACAGTGGTGATGGTTGTACAACATGAGAAATGTAAATAATGTCACTGAATTGTACGTGTAAAAATGGAAGAAATGGCAAATGTTTTGTTATACATATTTTATCACACACACAAAAAAAAGATAAAAAAGAAACTTGCCCCAGGCAGAAGGCAGCAGAGATGGGATTTAAACCCAGATCTGTCTGATGGTCTAATCCAAAGCTTATGACCCTTCAAAAAATTTTAATTTCTTACTAGAACAACAAAATGCTTTTGAAAAAAAATTCTGTTTCTAATAAGATTAAGCAGAGATTGAATTAGTTTAAAAAAAAAAAAAAAAAGCTACCACAAAGAAAAATCCAGTCCAAGATGACATCACCGATGAATTCTGTCAAACATTTAAAGAAGACTTACATAATGGCAAATTTTAACAAACTCTTCCACAAAATAGAAGAGGAAGGAACACCTTCAACCTCATTTTCTGAGGCCAGTATTATTACCGATACCAAAACCTGACAAAAACATTACAAGAAAACTACGGATCAGTATCTCTCATAGATGCAAAAACCTCCAACAAAACACTAGCAAACCGAATCCAGCGACATATAAAAAGGATTATACACCATGACAAAGTGGGATTTATCCCAGAAGTGCAAAGTTGGTTTAACACCCAAAAATCAATTAATATAACACATTATATCTATAAGATCGAAGACAAAAACCACATGATAATCCCAATAGCTGCAGAAAAAATATGACAAAATCCAACATTCCTTCATGATAAAAACACTCAAGAAACTAGAAACAGAAGAGAATTTCAGTTTGATAAAGCACATGTACAAAAAGCCCACAGCCAACATCATACTTAATGATGAAAGACTGAATGCCTTTTATCAGAAACTAAGACAAGGATCCACCACTTGTCTGTCAGTTTGTCATACTGTGGTGGCTTGCATGCTGCTGTAATGCTAGGAAGCTATGCCACTGGTATTTCAAATACCAGCAGGGTCACCCATGGTGGACTGGTTTTAGCAGAGCTTCCAGACTAAGACAAACTAGGAAGAAGGACTTGGCAATCTACTTCTAAAAAAAATTAGCAGAGTGAAAACCTTATGAATAGCAGCGGAACACTGTCTGATGTAGTGCCAGGAGATGAGCCCCTCAGGTTGGAAGGCACTCAAAATACGACTGGGGAAGAGCTGCCTCCTCAAACTAGAGTCAATCTTAATGACGTGGATGGAGTAAAGCTTTCGGGACCTTCATTTGCTGATGTGGCATGACTCAAGAGAAGAAACAGCTGCAAACATCCATTAATAATTGAAACACGGAATGTATGAAGTATGAATCTAGGAAAACGGGAGGTCATCAAAAATGAAATTGGAACACATATCCTAGGCATTGAGCTGAAATGGACTGGAACTGGCCATTCTGAATCAGACAATCATATGGTCTACTATGCTGGGAATGACAAATTGAAGAGGAGTGGCATCACATCATCAAAAATAATGTATTAAGATCTATCCTGAAGCAGGAGAAAGGTGGGGTGCAGAACTCAAATTCTAGTAAGAAGACCAGAGTAAATGGTCTGACTGAGACTGGAGGAACCCTGGAAAGCAAGGCCTCTGAATTCTCTATCAGCCCAGAACTAAAACAATTTCCAAGGCCAACTCTTCAGACAGGGACTGGACTGGCCTGTGGGACATAAAGTGATACTCATGAGGAGTGTGCCTCTTAGCTTAAGTAGATACAAAAGACTAAATGGGCATCTTCTGTCTGGAGGTGAGATGGGAAGGCAGAGAGGGTTAGAAGCTGGTTGAATGGACATGGGGAATCAAGGGTGGAAAGGAGGAGTGTGCTGTCGCAGTATGGGGCAAACAATTAGGGTCACATAACAATGTATGTATAAATTTTTGTACGGGATACAAATTTGAAATGTAAACTTCATTTAAACTTCAACAATAAAAAAGAAAAAAAAAGATCTAACCTGAGGTACAATGCTGTTAGTGATAGGATAATACCCATATGCCTCTAAGGAAGGCCAGTTAATATAACTATTATTCAAATTACACAGTACATTGACAGGAACTATCAAAAATTCAATCTGGATTCAGAAGAGGACGGAAAAAGGGTATCAGTGCTGATGTCAGATGGAAGTTGGCTGAAAGCAGAGAATACCAGAAGATGTATACTTGTGTTGTCTTGACTATGCAAAAGCATTCAACTGTGTGGGTCATAACAAATTATGGATAACGTTGAGAAGAATGGGAATTCTAGGATACTTAACTGTGCTCATCAGGAACCTGTACATAGACCAAGAGGCAGTCATTCAAATAGAACAAGGGGATATTGCATGGTTTAAAAGGAAAGGTGTGTGTCAGGGTTGTATGCTTTCACCATATTTATTCAATCTGTATGTTGAGAAAATAATCCAAGAAGCTGAACTATATTAAGAAGAACATGGCATCAGGATTGGAGGAAGACTCATTAACAACCTGCAATATGTAGATGACACACCCTTGCCTGCTGAAAGTGAAGAGGACTTGAAGCACTTACTGATGAAGATCAAAGACTACAACTTTCAGTACGGATTATACCTCAACATAAAGAAGACAGAAATCATCATAACTGGACCAATAAGCAACATTATGATAAATGGAGAAAATACTGAAGTTGTCAAGGATTTCATTTT